GAGGGTGCGGGCAGGTAGCGGGGGTGCGGGGCAGATGGGGGGGGTGCGGGGCAGGTGGCAGGGGTGCGGGGCAGGTGGCGGGGATCCGAGGCAGGGGTGCGCAGGCTTGGAGGTCGAGGGTTGGGGTTCGGCGGGCCCCTCAGCGGGGTTTCGGAGGTGAAACCCCTACCCCGGCTTCGGCCGCGTGGCTACCTGCCTGACATCCCTAGTCGAGACGCCCGCCAAATCTTATCATCATGCGGGAGGGAACCCCGAAAAGACTAAGGGTTGCTTAGGAAAGCAACGAACGCGATGCATGAAGTGTGAGATAAGGAAAGTTTGGGCGTAGACCAGCTAAGAGGAGAAGAGCGACGCCTACCTCAATGAAGTTATATGACCATTGCATTAGAAAATGGATGTGTTGCCTAAGGATGACCCTTAGCATGCGCATAATGGAAGAGAAGTCTCAAAGAATCCCCCGAACAGCCTGTGTATTGGAAGGAGCAATTGCATGAAAACACGACAAAATATCGGAAAATGAACGCTTGCGAGTGAACAACAAACTGCCCCCCACTAGCGGGAAAGCTGAGCTACATCCCCAATGCCAAAACTCTCTCGCTCGATGGCCCACCCCCATCCATCTCAAAGCCATCCATCTCAAAGCACTAGGTGGGGGTGACCCTGTGACGAATGGCTCCGCGCCATGAGCATGACTGTGGGCGGGGCCGAGCCAGCTTGGATCCGCAGACGGGTCGACTCAGACTCGAAAGTCTAACAGGGTGAGGCCCTCCAAAAAATGATGGAGGTGACGGGCATGGGGTTAAACTGACCCTTACCATCCCAGAGGGGGCGCCCTACGCATGACCGTGTACATAATCAAAGAAAAAGGAATGAGGACTTGAATTTGCTCTTTCCCTTGGGAGCATCAGATTTGAGGGTAGTTGGGCGCATGGCATGACCAGGCCTGGAGGAATAACATGCATGCTTGCACTCTTTGATTAGCTCGCTCCTTTTTGGGGAGTGGCTCTAGCCCCCCTTACTTCCAGCACTAGTGTTCACCAGTTCCGAGGAGGCATGTGGCAAGTCGCAGGTCGATCCTTCCTCTTCGCTTGAAAGAAGGGCTCCGGTTACCTGGCAGGCGGTTGGCGACTAGTAGGTTCCCAAAGTACGGCATGGGAAAAACAAACTGCTAACGGACCAAAGGATGTGAATGTCCGGACGACTAACCTTTACTCCTACCAACGATACGCGGGGTGATTTCGGGTAACGGCGGGGGCGTGCGAGAGCGGGAAGAAGGGATGGGGTACTCTGGGCAAACAGAGAGGGGTGATACCCTGTGCCGGAGTTGAGGTACCGCGCTTGCGACGATTGAGTTGCGCTTGAGGTATGTGATAAAACACTGTCGAATGTCACAGTAGAGAGACCATATTGGGGAAAAGGTCGATGAGGAGATGACCGGCCTGTATGTGAGATTGTTTGCGTTGTTCCTCTTTGTAATCCTCCTTTGTAAAGTATGATTGAGATATGAGTTGTTGGCGAGGACCATGATTTTATGTCTGGTTTCACCTTCCCTCTGAGTCCGCACGAGTGAGTGAAGATCCTGAGGAAAGAGATAGAAGTCAACCTTGATTGGAACAGAGAAAATGAATTTTTCCATTGCTCCTTCTTCTTGTCCGATGTATCCCCTGCCTTCCCTGGGTTCTGAGTTTTCATCCCACCCTGTCTGAACCGGCTGGCTTGGGTCCAACAACATATGATGTTGAGCCCATGGTCTTCAGTCGTAAGTGCTCGATGGATAGCGGACTTGGGGGTGACCGGGGGGGAATGCAAAGGCCTGATGGTGATACGACTCTGGTAAGTGTGGCGACAAGTCATATCCTTCTCGTTGGTTGTCCCTTGGTCTGTCTTACATGACGTTTTGTTGAAGAAAATCCTATTGGAAACCATGCTCCACCGCTGATCGTTAATGCAGCTGTTTGAATCCATCGTAGCCTTGGCGTCCTGCAAACGGTCATCTCCATTCTGGTTCCCTGTCTTATCTCGATGCCTCTTAATTCTCTGGGATTGTTGTTACTGGCCAATCTTTTCGGTGTAGCCATGGGGGCATTAGAGACATTGGGGTCAGGTGTTCCCCATTCCTCCAATCTCCACTTCTGACGTGTGTATGGCCCCTGACACCACCCTGCTGTTGCACTTCTCTACACGACCATTCCTGCCACTCTTGTCCTCTGTTCACGTCCAGTCTTGTGTTGTGGGGCTCTAGGCATGATCGATCTTGGTTAGCCATATAACTCGTGTGGCTTGGAGCCCGCCCCGCATGATCTGATTGTTGTGCTGGTGTTTGTCTGTGGTCCTGTCGACGACCTTCTTGGTTACTTTGAGCTCCCGTGTGTCCCTGTCCTTGCGCTGAACTTATCCCTCCACCTGCTTGTTGGCTCCTGTTTCGGATGTGTTGCTGGAAACGCTCTTTATGACATCCAACCCTTTGCCCCCCATCTCTTTTCCCTTCTACGTCTTGTCTCGTCCTCGGACAGTTCTCCTTTGTGTGGAAATACCATTTGCACTTTCTGCACCAATCGGTGTAAGGCGTAGCTATCTTCACCTTCCACCTTTCTCCTTTTGGAGACTCGATCATGAGATTGTCATCTACGTTAAATCTTGAGTCAGGGTGCATGTCTCACTTGACATTCATCAGTTTAGGCCTTGTTTTATCGTATTTGGGAGGGTGCATCGCCTTCACCTCTCC